ACGGTTAACTATGAGGCAAATTTTTCAATTACTGTTACACAAACAAATTTAATTATAAAATTGATCTGCATGCGACATGTCTGGCTACTGATATATAATTGAAAATAGCATCAATAGAATCTGAGTTCTGGTTCATATGAATTAGCAGATTATAATTGTCGGAAAAAAGAAAAAAATGAAGGAACAGACAGAATCCTTATAAATCAAATTTTTAGTGTATTCAATGATGTGTAATGTTCCATAATATCTTATTTCATTATTATTTTATTTTTTACAAATCGATAATAAAATGTATAAATTTAATGACTTCCTTTATTCTGTAAGAAATTTACAGACCTAAAGAAAAAGATTTTGTAAATTTTTAAAGTTCATAAATATTGAGGTCTAGACTAAAGAAGAATATTACGAATGTGAAATTCAAAACTTAATATAGATCCCGAAAACTTATGCAGGCAAATATGCCCACGATGGCTTATAGGTGAAGGGATAATAAAACAATAAGTAGTAAACAATACAAATTTATCTCCTTATTTTATAACGAAATACTGTATAAATCAACTGATAAAAATAATTGATTTAGACAGTGATTCTATTTATGGTAAATCGTCATGTGTAAAAAGATATTTAAAAGAGTAAAAAATTATATTTTTTTTAAATCATCTCATTTTTCTTTCGTAAAAAATGGGTCGTACTATAGATAAAAGTTCTATTCATTATGTTGATTTTTATTCACCATCGAATTCAGGTATAATTATATATATTATTATTTTATGTTTTATTAATTAAAGACCTAACTCATTAATATATAAATATATGTATTTCTATAATTTCAAGTCTTTTTTGTTGAAGATCGAAAAAAATTCGATTTAAAAGAATCATTAAGCACATCGAATTACGAAAAGGAAGATAAACTTCTTTATCATGTAAGATAATTAAATTCGAAACATCTTGTTTAGTGTCAAAAAAAAAAATAAAAAATTACCAACCATTTAATCTCTCTTGATAAAAAAAAACAAAAAGCCTAGTGATACTTTAGATAACAAACGTGCCAATGATGATGTATCAGGTGTTGGAGATAAACCAATCTACATACCAAAGCCAACGACAGCACAGTCATTAATTAATAAGTATGTATATGAAGAAGATTGCGAAATCAAATTATCTTGTGTATCTACTCTTCAACATCGTCGAAAGGTTTCTTCAAAAAAAAAGGATGATCTTTTGCAAGAATCTAAAACCGATGCTTTTAAACAACAGCAAACACGAAAAAAAGATGTTCAAAAAGACATCGTCATTAAGAGACCATTTGTTTGCAATGAACTGGGCTGTGAGAAGAGTTATGTAAAAGCGCAAAGTTTAATGATTCATAAAAGATCACATACCGGGGAGAAACCTTATGTATGTACGATAAAAGACTGTGGAAAAAGATATAGTCGATTGGATTCTATGAAAGATCATGTTAGAACACATGAAGGGAAACTTTACAAGTGTGATATACCAGGATGCGACAAGAGTTATTATTATTCTTCTCATTATCTACGACACAGAAAAATTCATTTTGTGGAGAAAATTTATAAACAAAAACAAAAGATTGTAGTAAAAAGGCATAAGTGTATTGTTCCTAAATGTGAGAAAGCATATGAATTTGCCAACGGTTTGACAAGACACATGTATTCTCATTCAAAAGAAAAATTCAAATGTGATTATCCAGGATGTACAAAGAAATTCACATATCCTGAAGATATTAAGAGACATAAGAAGACTCATGGGGTTATTTCCCTACATCGTGATGAACCCCGGTGTAACGAATCTTTTAATCGGTCATCCAACTTGGCGGATCATTAAAGAACTCATTCGAACAAAGGCCTTTTGTTTGTAAGATTGATCATTGTGGAATCAGATCAAATTAATTTTCATTGATTTTGTTATTTTTATTATTATTAGATTAATCATGTTCATACGAGACAAAAAAAGCAAACGTTAGTAAGTACATCGGAATGGATGGGTATTCGTAGCTTTTTTATTATTATTATTATTACCTTTTTAAAGGAAAAGAAAATCTTTTTATCATAAATAAAAGAAAGTTGGTGCTTTGGCTTCTAAATGTTATTATTATTTGCTCATTAATAACGCGCTTTTTGAAAACAATTACATTGATGCATCGAAACTACCGGTATGTACAGACGCGTTGTAAAGTAAACGTTCGATCAAATTTATAATAAAAAATTTAAGGCTACAGTATATAAAATATATATTTTTTTTAATTATAAAAGTTATATTTATATTTTTCTGTCTTTATTATAAAAAACATAACTTTACTTATAAAAAATTGATATTTCTTATGTCTTTTCTCCCTCGTGTTAGTTTAAACAATTCCAATAATATCTCAAGGGGCGTGATCTAAGACAATAATTTGAATCGATGTCAAGGGTTTTTTTATATGGCGTACTGTACTGTACAGTGGCGTGCGTCCACTTTTTAGGGTTCCAAACCCGTATTTGTTTAGAAAAATATACTTGTCTTTTTTACTCTATGTATATAATAAAGAAATAAAGGAATAGACATTTGTGTGTGTTATTATTTGATTTTACAAAAATGAAATTTTATTATAAAGTCATGTGATTACATCCTTATAAATGTTTGGAAATGATTTTGTCGCTTCCTTCAGTGATCAATAGGCGTGGGGAACAAAGATCGCACGAGAAAAGACATAAGAAAACCCGAATCTAAGCTCTAATTTCTTCTTTTGTTTATCTAACGTTAAAAAGCCTTGTCTCACTTTTATGCCTCTTATTTATATATGAATGTTTTCAATATCTACGTTGACATCATCTTATATCACTATGGAACCTCTTGGTCCAAGTTTTTGTTTGTACTTTTCTCGTCATGACCTCAACTATCAATCCCTCTGTAATACTTGGTATTTCGTCTCATTATCTTTTTTTTTTTTTTTTAGCTATTTTCAACACGTTTTTAAAAGGAAACTCATTTGGTACTTTGTTACCATTTCTCCTTATTCACCTCGCCGTGTTAATTGCTATTGGCAAATTTACAACGTCAAATTATATAATTTAACTTGTTTATCATATCAGCACAACTCTCTTCATTATAAGTTATGAAAGAATGCAAACGACATAACTTATCTGATAGAAAATGATTCGCGAGAAAAGGTGTTCTCGACAAAAGTCATAGCAGCATGGCGTAGTAACTAGCATATATTAATAAAATTCTTATTTTGACATTGCCTTGTGAGAATTATGATCATTTCTATTTATATTAATAATTAGAATTTTCTTCAAGTGCTTATGTGATTTTTCTTTTTTAAAAAAGTTCTACCTTTATTTTAATAAAAAATTTTAACTTATCAGCTTTCGTAAACAAAGACTTTTTTATTTCCTTATTTAATCCCTTCCATCCAAAAGAGTAAACTACAATGAATTTTTTGGTAACTTTTCCCGACGATCTCATATCTGTGTAACAGAATATTACACAATGAAAACAAAAACAATATAAAAAGCAAGCATGTAGGTATTTCAAAATCTGTTTGTTTTTTTCTCGCAATCGTTATAACGTTTCGTTATTTTTTTTTGAGGAAATTTTGGAACTTTTTCCAAAATTGGCAAATTATAATTCTTAAAGGACAACTATTGATTTTAAATAAAACTTTTTTTTGTCATTAGCATTGTACCTTATTTTATTAATACCTTGTAGCCAATTATAATATTCATTTACTGTGATATTATTTCATTATTGTCTTGTACATATTGTAAATTCCATGAATTCCCTTGAGCAATTCTTCCACATCTTGTACCATTACGACTTAGCTAAAGAGGAGCATCGTAGACAGGGAAGAACCTCTCCTATAGAATCTCCTATACTCACCATGAGCTTTGATTTTCCCGACGTTGACCCACCAATCGTAAATGCACCACGTGAATACCTATCCGAAGATGAAATAGAAGAAGAAGGAGAACAAAAAGAACTTTACAATAACGAAATTAGTGTTTGTAGAAGTGAAAGTACTTGTCCTTCATCTTCGAACTCAACTATCAGCAATGATACGGTAATTGATGAAATTAGACTTGATGAAAGTAACGACGACATGGAGACAAGCTATTCCACTCCTTTCGAAATGGTTTCCACTCAAACGCCGCCTATTAGATCATGTCGCCTTCCAAAGCACGTAGAGTACAGTGAAGCGGGATTAACAGCAAATACTGAAAGTAACGATGACATGAAGACAAATGAAACCCATTCCATTCCTTTCGAAATGGTTTCCACTCAAACGCCACCTATTAGATTATATCACAATCCAAAGCACGTGGAGTACAGTGAAGCGGGATCAACAACAAAAACTGAAAGTAACGACGACATCGAGACAAATGAAAGCAATTCCATTCCTTTCGAAATGGTTTCCACTCAAACGCCACCTATTAGATTGTATCACCATCCAAAGCACGTAGAATACAGTGAAGCGGGATTAACAACAAATATTGAAAGTAACGACGACATGGAGACAAATGAAAGCAATTCCATTCCTTTCGAAATGGTTTCCACCCAAACGCCACCTATTAGATCATGTCACCATCCAAAGCACTTGGAGTACAGTAAAGCGGGATTAACAACAAATACATTTGTTAAGATAACGAGAAACCTTGCGAATATAGTTGGGATTGACCGTGGTTTGATGGTTTGCAGAGGATGCATGAGGCAAATTCATCACGACCCTGAGGTATAATAATCTGTTTATTCATAAAATTGTAAAGTTCCTTGCCACTAGATTGATTTTGTGAATTTTCCTTTTTAGTACACCTCCCATCGGGATTATATTGCTCCAAAGAAGGCAAAAAAAGAACACGTGTTAAATAATCTTAAGATTGAGATGGTAGGATTTAATCAATCTGAGACAAAAGAAACTTCAGAACTGTAATCAGTTTGTGTTGCGATTTTTTTTTTAAAAAAGAAAAAAAAATTTTTTTTTACGTTTTTTTTCAAAGTAGATTTAAATTAAATCTCCAACTTATTTTTTTTTTATTTTATTTTTATATATTTTTTTTTTTTAAGAAATAAATAAATTATTATCCGTTCCGTTAATGAAAACTGAATGGGTCATGGATTATCAAAATACTGAGACAACACCGCCAAAATTTATTTTTTTGATTTTATTGAACTATATAAGATAATCTAATTACATTTCTAATAAATTGATCTTCATATTTCATTTTATTCTTTAAACAATGAATGATTCGTATTTCGATATTATGACTTCCATTTCCGCTTATGATCTTGACCTTAACGATGATTATTTGCTATTCTATCCTTTTCCATTATAAGCATACTGCTTATCACTTTAATTTAGAGATTTATGAAAAAATGTTCAAATGTTATGGTGTCTATCACCTATAAACCGCCTTAGTCCGAAATTTCAGATGTAGATCATCACGTGACTTTTATAATAAATCACATGACCGTGCATTTTTTTTTATCACGAAGCAGCATATGGGAGCGTTTCCAGTAAAATCACATTACGGATCATATGATTTACTATGCCTCATGACTTGATTTTACTGGAAACGTTCCCATATACAATATACTGATTAGACATATAAAATCTATGTAAAATTACGTATACAATATATTGATTAGATGTATAAATTTCGTATGTTTTTGCATACAGAAAAAGTCAATTTTCAGTATCTTATATACGGAAATATTTACGAATTTATTATACTGTTTGTCTACATTTTTTATACGTTTTTTAAACGTATTATTTCTGTATACTTTTCTTATACTAATTATTTATAGGGCTATAGCTGAATAATTACGAAAAGAAATGTATTTTATTTTATAGTATTAAGAAAATAATACTTTTTGATAACGTTTTGTGATTTTTGTGAAATATTTGTATTTACTAAAGCAATTACATATACTTTTAAAGAAATATGCTATATTGCTTTTAGATATATTTACAAAAATATATCAAGTGCATGATTTGAGTTCTTTAATTATTAAATCTTCATTTAATGGTATTAATTAACACATACAAATTTTCTTCATTAGATTACAAGTTAACTGACTATTATCTTTTAAGAGATTTCATTACTTTTAGAAAACTAATACTATTATTCTATGTGATTATATATATTGTGATGATAATTCATATGATAATATTATTCTGACATATAGTTATAGTTATCATAGTATTTGCTTGCAAAGAAATTAATTTAAGTATTTTATATGTTAAAATTATTTTCAGAAAGAGGTTAAGAATTATGTTAATATATTAATAATAAGTTTGATAAAGGAAGAAAAGATTAAAAATGAATCTATTAATAAGAATATTGAAGATGTGAATGAAGATGATTTAAATAATACAGAATTAATAACATATGATATAGTAGTAATAGAAAATTTATTTTATTTTATTTTTTTAAAAAGCAATAGAAAATTTATTAAAATATATGAAATATTATTTTTAAATTTGTAATTTTTTATTTTATATAATTTTGCAATAATAAATAAAAAGTTTTTATATAAATCAATAAATTTATAATATATTACTTTAAATCAATTGATATTTTGAATTAATTATTAATTAATATTTTAAGTTAATCTCTAATTATATCTTAATTAATTTAATTAATTCTAGGAATTAAATACAAAATAACTAGAATTACCAGCTTGACTAATATGTGATAATATCAAAATTTTGTAATTTCATTGGTCAGCTGTATATGATAAAATTGAAATTTTATGTAACTTGAATAATCCTTTTGAAGGCTCTACTTATTATGTTTATATTACAAATATGATATTATGTGATATCTAAAAATCTAATAATTAAAGTGTATTTATTAGTTCAATTCTATATAATGATTAATATAATAATTCAAAATTTCGTGTTAAAAGAAAAAAGCAAAAATAATTAATAATATTTCTTTCTATGACTTATCAGAAGAATAAAGTTTAACATATAAAATGCATTTATAATTTTTAATTAATCTATTTTTTTCATCTAAAACTTTAAAAAAATTCATATATTAAAAGTTTATTATAAAAATAGGATTTTGAGAAATTTTTAATAAAATTTTAAATTTTATTGCATTTAATTTTGATGATATTAAATTAAAATGCAATAAGAATAAAATTTTATTTAAAAATTTATAGAATCCTATAAACCTTTTATCTGAATTATATTAAGAAAACTAAAAAAATAACTGAAATATTATTATAAGAAATATCATTAGATATATAAATAATAATGTAAAATAAATGTAATTTTAGTTAAAATGATCAATTATCAATACATTTTTTCAGTTATATGATATTATATATTTAACTAAACTGATCATTTAAATTTAGTCTAAAAATCAGTTTAATTTAATTTAATTTCAGTTTGATCATAATTCTCAAACTGAACTAAAACTGATCCTATAATTAAACTATAGTTTAAATTATCTAATCATAAGCTTTAACATCACTACCTATTATAAGATTAGAAATAGATCAAATCCATTAAATTTAAATAGCTAGTAAATCAGATCTATTGATATAATCTATTAGGATTTATTGAGATCTATTAACTAATGTGATATAATTTATTATTGAAAAAAAATTGCAAAAAAAAATTTCAAATGTAAGTAGAATTACTTATCTTTAAAAGCTTATAACTCATCAACTATGAATATGATTTTATATTTATTTTAATTCTTAAATCTTAAAAACATATCCAATAAAATTTTGAAGTACAATTATTAATACCAATTTTATGCAATTTAGTAATTTATATTAAATTAATAAAATTTAAGCATAAAATATTTTTTCAGCAGATTAGCTACTAAATATATAATACTAGATTTTAATTTTTCTCAATATAACGATTCTAGATTCTAATAAGCTAAAATTAAATCAATTTATTTTATTAATTTTATAATATAAAAAATCAAATAATATAAAGTAAAAAAAGTAAACTATTATTTATATGATTCAAATAAAAAATTATTATCTAGAGATATTTAAAAATCTATAAAAGACCAAATCCCTTCAAACTAGCTAGTTGTCTTATTAAATTTAAGAATGAATGTATAAATACAAGTCTAATCATAATTGTCTATTAAATAAGAAAAAAAAATTTGAAAAATAAAAGTAATTTAGAATATAAAAAACAACTAGCTATTACTGATCCAAAAAGAGTTTAATCTCTGTAATATATAATAAAAAGTCTGACTAAATCAATCTAATTGTAAAAGTAAGTTGTGAGGAAATAAAAAAAGGATTAATATGTTAAATGAATAATAAAGAAAAAATTATATTTTCTGTTTATGTGAGATGTGTAGTGATTTTTTTTCGATTATTAGTTCACATCTAGAAATCCAAATTTTATTGTAAGTTTAGTTATAAAGAAATATAATAGTATTTGATAGAATGTTGAAAGTGATTTTTTATGAATTTGTATGATATTAAAAAGATTGATAAAATAATAAAAGTTAAAGAATCATTTTAAGAGATGATAATTAAAAAATTATTAGTATTTAAATAGTGATTTAAGGAATTTGAAAGGTAAGTTGAAGTGAAATAAGTTGATGTAAAAGAAAATTTTTAGTATAATTGATGATATTTTTATAATATGTAAACTTGAATTATATAATCAAATATAATCAAAAGTTTAGTTTGCTGAAGTACAATGACAATATTTTTATAAGCTATTTATTATAAATGTGTTTTTATATAGATTTAATAAATTTGGCAGTAAAAATTGCTTGATTAAATATTTAATTTTTGACTATGTTGTTTTAAATTTTCAAATATAGATGAATTTGAGTTTTGATATCCTTTTAGATTATTAAAGATACATAGCTAATTAATATGAAAATATTTATATTTAAAATTTCTTTTAAGATAGAAAAAATAATAATTCTTGAGTCTTCACAATTATTTTTATAAAGAGTTCAACTGGATTATTAATTAAAAGATTTTGAAATTTGAAAAGAAATTTAATATAAAAAGCATTATTAAGATTTAATTTTAATGGTGTATTATTTAAAGCATCTTTAGCTAGAAAATTAGCAAATTCATTTTATTTACTTCTAAATATTGTTTAATGAAATAACTTTTGACCTAATGATTACATTTTAATAGAAATATAATTATTAGAACTATCTAATCGAAAGCTTTCCAACAAATATAAGCATAAAGTTATTAAATTAATAGAAGCAGAGATAATTCGAAAAGAGTGATTGCTATTATAATTCTGCAGATCAAAATTAAGAAAGCCATAATTTCTTAAGCCACAGCCTGATAATCAAAATGACCAAAATCTCAGAAACGATGATAACGTTATTAACTAAGTTTATATAGTTGTTTAAGTTTAACTAGTTTCTTATGTTTATTTAATTAAGTTAGTTAATGTAGTTAACTAAGTTAATAAAGTTTATAACGTTTCTTTAGTTTTAATAGTTTTACTTTATCTTAAATTAGTAATAGAAGTAAATCAAATATTTTATATAAATAGGATAAGAAATTGCTGTAGTTAGTTTTAAGTTAGATTGGAGATAAATTTAAGTTTTAATCAAAGTTAATTAGAGAATTTATTGTGACATTCATAAATTGATAAGTTCGCAAACAAGAGCTTATTTAGTTTATTGAATTGTATTGATCTACTTATATTTTATTAATAAACTAAACATTATCCCTATAATATTGATCTGTTAAACTTGTGACCTAAAATCCAATTCATCATTATTGCTTTTCCATCATATTTGAAATATACATACATATTCACAATTTATATTTATATATCCTTAATATTCCCTATATTTATAAATTGATATATTGTTAATTCAATAGTTTTATTAACATGAACAAGTTCTTAAAATTATTAAGTTAAATTATTATCCTTTAGATACCTAAAACTTTGCTATACATGTTGAA